TCTTAGATTGCATTTGTTTCGTTTGTAAGTGGGTGGTCTTCCGTCTGTGATGATATTTGGGTACGACAGTATTATAGTACATTAGTTAAGTACTAAGTTCCAGAACCTATATACTTAAGAAATTTCGTTGTATTATTTCAAATAATAGGTGTAGTTTAATTAAAAATACATGTTTGCTTTTCGTCAATATGAATAAACATTTCTAATGGAATTAGTACTTGCACATAAACATTGGTTAGGTATTTTTTTCTTGAAACTGTAAATTTAATTCACCTAAAATATAGAGTAGGTATGTTCACAAACTGTTTATATATTAGTATAAAAATATTCAGAAACATCTTATACAAAGCAATAGTAAATATATCATATCCAGTATGTGTCCGCTTTGTCACTTCTATAATGCAACTCATGGGTTCACTACTCTCTCCACATTACCTCTGGCTAGCCTTTGGCCCTAATAGTGGCGAACACAGGAACGGCGAATTCACATTGCACAAGGACCAACGCCGTATAGAACGCATCTTTATAAAATGTGGACGTATTCGCCATTCAATCCTCACTTTATAAAATGAAATTGGACTTTGTTATTCTATATGCATCATAAAATGTCCATCTATAATGGGTAACCTTTGTAGCGGCAAGTCCGAAGTACTGATTTTTTTTCTAATAAACCTTTTTATACTTTTATTGGTTCGATTGGTTCGTTATCGTATTACATATTTACCCAGATTTCATTCTATCATTTATCGATTTTTAGACAATGTTTCTACAATAATATTTGTATCATTTGTAATTCACTTGTCTACTGAACTCCCACCAATGACATGAATAAAATAGTGAATAACAATGTATTAGTTGCATGCTATAATAAAAAAAAATCCATTTATTTAATTATGTGGAAACAATATTTTGGTGACACTTAAATAAACTTTATTTAACTAGATAATGCGTTATAATAAAACTTTCAATGTATTAAATACTTTTTTTCTATTGTTACTGTCGATTTTTCTACAAACGTAGAACAAAATTTTTTAAAAGATTTTTATCTTGTCACGCCAAAGAAGAATAATTTCTAACGCGTGTACACATAAGAACACACACGTTTTTTTTAAGTAACATGCATTTTATTCTAAACTTTACATGCATAAACAAACAAGATTCCTATACAAAATACATTTATACCCATAATGGGTAACATATCAAGGACACCTAAGTACATACATAGACTACTTGACAATAACAAAAGAATGGTAACCCATTACATAGAATGTATGAAGAAATTTTTAAAAAGCATATTCAAGGCTACATTTTAATGCCGGATCTGTTTAATTGCAAATAACTATAAAATGTTTATAGCCACACAGCTAAATACTGGTAGTCGTAACAATAATAAAAATACCGGATTAAGAGCAATTTCGTACATTGAGAGGTGGACGGCAAAACGGCGCCGGCGCCGGCAAAATTGACATTTACATGGGACCTTGCGCGAAGCAATTTGCGAACAATACACTTGCGCGTGTCACACATTCCCGGAACCCGATCCTCGAACCCGGAGTGACCTCTACTTAAACGACCTCCGAGACATTCGAGCCACTCTCCATTAATAAAAGTAAAAATCCAAGGCACAGATTACAACTATCACGCATTCAATTGTCTTTTGAATTCTGTTTTCGCACAGAGTACTAAGGCGTATTTTAACATACACGACTTTAAAATATATTATCGTCATTATTGAAATTACATTCACCTCCACCTCATGCAGGTGTTGCCCACTCTTTATCATTGACATGAGACCATTAACCATAACACTTTAAACTAAAGTCAAAAACCTACTTAATGTAAAAAAAAATCTAATTGTTTTATGTACTGTAATGAAGACTGAATTTTTTTATTTTTATTTTATGGCCTGGTAACGAGACCTTTAAGCCAAGTATTATTTTCGGTCACTAATTTTCACTTATTATTCACATATTATTCTAACATTCCACTTGTAATAAAGACTGAATACACATTTACAACAACAATTGTTGTTATGATAGACAAGCATAATAATAGAAAACGCATAGGAAAATTACCTTAATATTAAAAAAATCAGATAGATCATCTAACATATGCAGTCTATAATAAATATTGATTAATGAGATACTAGCGAAGAAAGTATTTTCCGTAGTATGCGCCCACGAACTGGAATTTTGTTAAGATATTGCTTAACTAGTGGTTCCCAAAGTACGTCACTATTAGGTAACTATCAGCCGGATCTGCGGGCTCATTAAGCGAAAAAAAGATCATATCGCAAACAATAGAGCACTCGGCGACCGAAAGTGATAGTCTAATAGATATTAAAGCGAGCGATGACGATGGAGAAATGGTCATAAAATGTCCAGTCACTCCCTACACACGCCTACAAACTCGACTGATCTTCACTTTATAACATTAATTAAGAACTGGTGATTAGTGTAGAATAAATTTTACGTAAGTATTATTTACACATGATGCAGAAATGTACATACAATTGTTACCCATAAGAGCAGTATACCGCGTAGAATAAATAATAAAAGGTAATCCACCTTCTATTGCAATAACAGTACAACAAAATAGGGAAGCACAAACTATGAATGGCAAACACGCCGGTGTCAAAATTGTAGCTATTTACAATACATCATGCAGAGACAGTGACTGCGTCGTTCTGGTTTGCGGTTCTTTGACAAATGAACCTGTACAAGACGCTGAGAATGTAATGTATAGTGACTTCGCGGCTACTGTACGACCCGGAACGCACCTCACGTATTTTAGTTACGAGGTTCTTGGTAGGCAATTTCTGTAGAAATATCGCAAGAGTTTTCAAGTTATTTGGAAGACAATAATATTTCACATTTGTTTTGAATAAGTAAAACAGGTGTTATTTTGCGTTAACGCCGAACGTAAATGAACTCTCTTTGTCTAATCGAGGTACAATAGTAATGATTTGCGGATATTGTATAGTAGAAGGTGAATTAACAAAAATCGAGAAAAAATTTCTTTAAATATACATACATATTAATTTATTTACTGTTCTAAATACCTACCTCCTATAAGGATGAATAAAATCTGAAATGTTTTATTATTGTAATATAATTAAATAAATGGGTCTTAATTATAATGCATATAAGTATTTTTGAGTACATTTATGTAATACACCGAGTTAAGTACAAGAAATTAAATTATGCAGTATTATATTTTTGTACATTTCACATATAAAAAACAATTCTAATAAGACATGACATAATTTTATTTCAATGTTATCCAAAGCTCCAATATATTTCAATATAACCTTTGAAAGTATTAAAATAACAAGACAGGCTATAAATGCTTCACCCACCCACTTTGCATTAATTATTTAGCCTCTTGAATTACAAATATAATCTGAACCTTGAAAATTGTAAATAGAATAAAAGTAAACAAAGAACTTGATAGGCGATCAGTTGTAGTAATACAAACACATTTACATACTACAGCGGCTGGTACAAGCTATTCAAGATAAATCGCGAGATATGCAGAGGTTTTAAGCGAAATAAATGAAACTGTTAATACAGGTACACCCACAGAAGGAAGGATAAAACCTTCCTACGGCATCTGATTCATTACTTCATGCTAGATGTATTTGTAATCTAGTTGGACACGATTAGCGGATACCCCGAGTTCACATCACGTACAAAATATATTCAACCGACATAATAATAGATAAACTTGAGATATCTACAAGGTTACTGAAGCTATAAACTTAGACTGCCTAGGGAGGCGTTCCCCATTTGTCACGAGTGTGGTTTCGCGACACAGCGGAACACACTTTAGAGGCGTGTGAGATTGGATCTGTCGCTTCCCGTCATAGTGAAGGCTATGGTGGAGGCTGAAACGACGGCCCATGGAACACTTTCAAAGCGTTGTGGGCAAAGCGTGTTGGGGTGTAAGATTTAAAGAGAACGCGGGTTCGGGAGTGTAAGACCGACCCTCAAGGTAAAAAAAAAGCCTGGAAGACCGGCGACGCGATTACGTACGTACTCCACTGTGACCCTTGTACCGGGTTGGGCAACTGGACAAACGGAAGTTGGGCTTGCAGTAGCGCTGCAGACTCTCTTGACGGGAACACGGATTAATGCGAAACGGTTACCATGTCTCCCGTCCATGGCAAGTAAAAGATGGAGCTGTTGGGTTTCAGTGGGTCCAAAGTGTGTAAAAAGATTTCCCAACAATAAAAAAAAACCACAACCCGTATTCTAGAACGTCACTTAAACTTAAACCTATATCAGGAGATGTCAAATTACTTTATTGATTTTAAACTTTGACAATGCTGAAGTGGAGATTGCGATATCTTTTGCAATACGGGCCTTAGAAAAAGTAAATTATTTGAACCTTTATTCCATTATAAAATATTCAAAACAGAATTTCTATTGATGTAAATCTATTTGTTTGTACACTGGCTGAGTTCACTAAAGTTGCTTGCTATTTTATTAGTTATAAGATCTAGGTATATATATTTTTTTAATGTGTTTTAATTGTAAGCTGATATTCGGTGTAGGTAATATTGTGTCGTTCTATAGCATAAGTAGTAATTATTAAGATACAATAATGATGTGGAAATAAATAAATGTTGCATTGTTTCAGAAATACCTTAAAAACCAATTCTACTAGTGTTTAAAAGTTTGTGTTTTTTACTACACATGTAGGTATTTTAATGAATTATTATATATATCAAAAGCAAAAATGTACCTACAATATTCTATTGAATCAAAATTAAACAGTAATAATTACCTATGCAAGGAACGTATACGAGATTATTTGTGTCTCAAAAGAATAACATAATTCCAGGTAAATAACGGGTAGCCAATCGTAAGGTACTTGTTGCAATACGGAGTTCACCTTAAACCGCACATGCGCACTTGCCTTCATTGATTTTTCTCACTTTTGACAGTTCATCCGATGTTTTGGGCAACCACCCGCGTTCACTCAACGTAAACAAAAAGATGGCTTTAGATTTCTCTGCAACGTACAAATTACTTGTTTTGGGCGATTCAAATGTCGGTAAAACGTGTATTGTGCATAGATATTGTGACGAAAGATATTACGATATTTATATATCGACAATAGGTGAGTAAATTTACTGCATACAGTTTATTACCCTTTGTGAGTCAGGTGATGTTAGGACTTAAGAAAATAAGGAATATTGCGGATATTGTAAGAACAATAAGCTATGACGTAGAACAATACCATTTACGATTTTAATTTTGATTTATCGAATTTCCGGGGTTTTTAATACATACAGTTTTATGCCAATGCTAAAGTACCGACCAATTCTATTTTACGACATTTTTACAAGGTAAATTATACCTATAGTGTTACTAAACTTGATGTCAATTAAGTTTAAAAAAAAGAATGATTTGATTGAATATATTTGTAGCTAAGTAAAAAATTATTACCTTTTAATCACAAAAATTTACCGTCGCCTGGTTGCAGTTGGACATAATTTTAATATCAAGTAGGTATGCAGAGGTAATTTGAATATGCAGACGAGTCGAACTATAAATTTTATGACTAATATCTGTTCATAAAATGAATGCAAAAGATTCCGAACGTTGGTGTAGGTCCAGAATTCATTTATCATTTGTGCTTTTGATTGCTTACGATTTATTCAATGTGATATTCAACTTACTAAAGATAAAGTATACCTACATTTATATTAAAAAATTTAGCTGCTGTAACGTTTTAAAAAAAATCTTAGAGAAATGTAAAAATCCAAAAATCATTTATTCATATAGGTAACACAATGTACACTTATGAACGTCAAAGAAGAAATATACATTTAATCTAATTTTACATTTATTGCCAGTTCTCAAATCAAGGGCGTAGAACGGAAGAGAAGAACTGGCAATAAGCTCTCCGCCACTCTTTTTAATTGCCAAGTTTTTTGTTTTACACAACGTTTGTAAGGAGCTGCAACCATTGGTAATACTTTTCGCACCAAAATAATCATTCAGCGCAGTGTTAGTCTAGTAGTAACTCAACCCGCTTCTCGACAGAGGTCATAATTTAAACCCCGGTTGCACCAATTAAGTTCTTTGTATTTGCGCAAATATCGTTTTCTCATATAGAGATTGAAAATATCGTGAAAAAGCTGGCATGTCTTTTACCCAACAATCGGCGGTGATCAGGCACACAAGGTTGATCATCTTACTGCCTATTTTAGAAAAATATGACGAAATCTGAGACCCAATAAGGGTGGTTGTAGTGTCCACACGTTCATTTCAAACACATAAAAATTACATTACAGGGATAGACTTCAAGCAAAAAATAATTAACCTGGATGGAGTGCCAATTAAACTTCAAATATGGGATACAGCGGGCCAGGAGAGATTCCGGACCCTCACTACAGCCTACTACCGAGGCGCGATGGGAATTATTCTTATGTACGATATTACAAACCTGGAATCTTTCAACCATTTGTCTTATTGGCTAAGAAATATACAAGAAGTAGGTATTATAGTTTATATTATATTTTAGTTAAGTATTATATTGAACGCAAATTATGTTAACGGATATTACAATTGATAAAAAAAAAGTATAGAGGTAGAAAAAAATATTTTGTTAACGTTAACGTTACGTACATAAAAAATCTAATTACATATTTAAAACTGACATTTAATAAATACCTACACATGCGAACCCAGCGATATTAGTGATAGTTGGTTTATATTTTACACAAAACTTGAATCTGGTCTCTAAAACAAGGAAGCCCATCCATGATGTGTAGAATTGGACTATTTATTTACAGAAGAACCGCAAACGGGCTAGCAGGTCGGTCGATAACGTCCGCAGCCCTCAGACACGAAAGACAAGATTGTGTTGCCGGCCCCCTAAGTTATATCTTCAATTTACGCAATGGTTAACATTTTGTATTACTCTTACAGTACGCTTCTCCTGATGTTATCAAAGTTCTAGTTGGAAATAAATCTGACGTTCATGAAAACAATAGAGCTGTACCAAAAGAAAGAGGCCAAAAGGTATATATTTTCTTTAACACGAATAGGTACACATTTAATTAAAGGGTGTTTAATGCAAATGTGAATTTATTTATAGCTAAAAAGCCCCCGAAACGCTGTGTTATGTAGGTAAATAGTGAAATAAGTTCACATCCTTTATAAGTTTTATTTAAATAAATAATAAAATACCAATAGTACTTATAGATATATTTTTATACAACATATAGTCTAAGTCAAAATCATTTAGGTAACATAATGTACACTTATGAACGTCAATAAAGAAATACATATTAAATTCTAAAATGCTTCTAATTTTACATTTACTGCCAGTTCTCAAATCAAAGGCGTAGAACGGACGAGAAGAACTAGCAATAAACTCTCCGCCACTCTTTTTAATCGCCAAGTTTTTTGTTTTACATAATGTTTGTATGGAGCTGCAACCATTACACCATGTTTCACATGACATCTTAAGTAATTAATAGTTAATTAATAATAAAAAATATAAAGTTAACATAACCTTTAAATACTTCACAGATTGCAGATGACTTCGATATGCCTTTTTTTGAAGTTTCATGCAAGAATAATATAAACATCGAAGAAGCTTTCCTCACATTAGCAAGAAAGATAAGGGAATACAGAGAATCTAAGGTAATATTATTTAAATAAAATATTGCCTACAATTTACCTAATTATTTGACGTGATTTAAAAAAAAAATGCTTTGACAGCAGTAAAATCTATTAAAGTATGTGCCATGAGTCTTCCTAGATAAAATTTTAGAACGTGTATCTTCAGTTAACAGAACACAAATCCCCTACAATATTTCTTTAGTAGGTAGGAACTTTTGCTATACCAACCCAGTTCTCAAACGACTACAAAAGCGTTCAAGAGAGAAATGGACCAGCATCTGAGATAATAATTAACATAATATGTATATAATTCCAGGCGGATGCTTTCGAGTTAAAAGAGAGAGAGAACGTTATCAAGCCTTCTGAATCCCAGACAGACGTATCCAAGTGCAGTTGTTAGTCTTATAGTACATAAGAGCTTGAAGAAACGGCGATTACGGATGGAAGATTTTTACAGCAACAAAGTTAGCTTTGGTAGTTATATAATAATGATAAGGGCTAATATTCAGTGGACTTTCACGTATGCCTAATATATGAGGTTTAAAGCTTGCAGTGCAGAGTTTAGAACATTTTGCCATCTGACTAAAAAACTAATATTTTCAAAAGTCCTTGCCCTTGTCTATATAATAACGCGACGTCTGAACTATTTCTAGATATCAGATTAATTTGTTCTAGATAACTATTTCAATTACAAAAAAACTTAATTACGACCAGAGTTTATGTTATCTAATTAAAAATATAGTTTCTATTATAACGGTTTCTTATATATTAATAACGGCCTGTAAGCAATGAAAACGTTATCTTTGTAAAGCGATAAAATTTACGAATCTTTATAGCAATATTGCTGATCAATGTTTTGCCTCTTCGGAATAAGTAGGCGTTGGCATAACTAAACTAAAATCGGTCAAAACAACAAAACATTTCTTATAATTGATTATCTAGAAAAGTATTAGCATAATATTACTAGTCAATCAAACATTTTGTAGAAAAAATTTTGTAGTCCTCAAAAATAGTATAAAAATCCTAAAATAGTCAATTTTCTTCTACCTGATTAGGTAAAATCTTAATTTTCTGAACAGGCTGTTTACCTTAAAGCGGCTTCACTATCAGTCTAGGACGCATAAGGAATGAATAGACAAATCTCACTCACAAGATCCCATGTACCAAATCTTTTAAATGTAGCCTTAGATTATAAATTTAAAAGTCTAAAGGTAAGATTCAGAATCAAGACTAAAATGTTATGGTTGACACCCCTACGTCAAAAATCTATTGGATTCTGACGTTAGCTGTTAGTCTCGTTTGCGCGCGCTGCCCTGCGATTCTGTAACTCACTTTTCGAACTCACACAGCGGTTTTCGCATCGGCGGTCGCTCTGAAATCAGTCGTGAAGCAGTCATTTTATGATTTGGCATTCTAATAAACAATAAACTCCAAGCTCCCACCTTTTCAGAATCGCAGGGAAGGTCAGTTTCGTTTCTGAATCTTTCCCTAAGGCCTTTGGGCTTAGGCATTATGTAAACAGCCTACGCATTGCTCACACAGAATAGAATTTTAAATGAGTTCCAAAACTAATATTTGTTTTAAGTACATTGGAATAGCTATATATAGCATAGAAAAAGAAATAGTGAGATTACTGATTCATCAATTGTCTAGAACGAATTTAAAATTAAATTCTGTAGATAAAAGCACTTTTTACGAATTTAAAATTGAGAAAAATTTGTAGTGGCATCTATTAAAATTGTATAATCAAAAAACATTTTATAGACATTGATTAAAAACTTTTGTTCAAAGTATTGTTGATATTTTTAAATCTTTGTAAGATTCTTTGTTTGAAGTGTGTCGGATCCAAAAACTGTTTTATGGGATTGCGGTAAAGAAATAAACGTAATTTCATCTCTTATATAAAAAAATCGTTAGTGCCAATTTTTTCTACTGTTTCTACTAACCAGAAACCATACATCTTAAGATTTTTACTTTAAGTCTGGACTAACTCATAATTCTTAATATTACGGATTAAATGACGGAGCAATGGCATATAAATAATATATATTTATGTCACAGGATTTGACTTTGACGTTGATAATTTATAAGCCCTGCGACATATGACAATGTCAGCTAACAATAACACCATTGCTCCGACGTATACAAATTCAAATTCTGCACGCGTTGTATCCGATAAAACAGTTTTATTATGTTAAAGATAAAATTTAGATAAACAGGATAGTGTAATACATTTTAATTCCAGCACAACTGGAAATTAACATAAATTTATGTAAAATAAATTTTTATTACGTCTTTGCTTTATTGACAATTCATTTGGACTAGTAACTAAGTATCTTCAAAAAGTCAAAAGTCAAAATCATGTACACTTCTGATCGTCAAAATATAAATATACATTAAATGCTTCTAATTTTACATTTACTGCTAGTTCTCAAATCAAGGAAGAGAAGAACTGGCAATAAACTCTCCGCCACTCTTTTTAATCGCCAAGTTTTTTGTTTTACACAACGTTTGTAAGGACATGACATGACACATGACATCTTAAGTAATAAATAATAATAAAATAAATTAAAAACAAATATTTGTCCTCTATCAGTAGGAGGCATGGTAAATAGGAGGAGTACGCACTTACATTCTTGTGGGAAAAACACGCAACTTAAAGTGAGAATCGGCTACGTTTTTGACATATGGAAGCCATTCATAGCTCTAAGACTAGTAGAATTTAATTCAAACTTAGTGTCGACTTTGAAATTTACCCTTAAGTTTAATTAATTAATCCCTCATTCCTATAATATCCGTGTGAAATATCTTAAAAATTGTCTAAATTGTAGCCAAGGAATGCAGTGTCTGGAAATTCAAGCATGAATTTTGTGCAGTAAATTTATACACCTATGCACCTTTTTCAAATGTCTAGTTCATTTCTGTTAGAACTATAGTGGGTGACATACACATTTTTAAATCATTTCACCAATATAAGCGCATAAATAATTTAAATTAATAAAATTATTTCCCTATTAGATTTGACTTAACCTCATAGAAACAAGATTTAATTTTATATAAATGAAGTTTTGACATCATCTTTGCAGGTAATCCATTATAAATTGAGTTTTCTTTTTCTTTTTTTGATTGTTGATATGTCATGTGGCTCCATTTTAATGTTATCTTGATTCAATTCCATAACTTCTGTTTTCACCTTTGTATTTGTGTCCTGTGATGCGGGCTCTATTTTGACATGTGTATCTTGTTTTCTGTAAAAATATGTTGAAAATATCATTTGTCAAAATTTTGAATAAAAACAGAATAATGAATATTGCGAACCTCTATTTTTGGAAGCCTGATAAAAAAACAATTGACTTAAGGTTTCAATCAAAAAATATATCTCACACTAGGTCTTATTTATCAATTAAAACAAACATTCAAATTTGGGTTATCTAATTTTAATGTTGATAAATTAACTTCAATAGGCAGGCGTTTAAATTTGTTGTAATAGGAATGTAAAACTTCTAAACCAACAATATAGGAACAAGAGTTTTCCATGATCATTTCTCCACACTTTATATGGGTAGTATTCAAGTATAAAAAAACACAATACTTGTATGCTGTCCTTTACCCTAGTTAGGTGACCCAAACTCGCAAAAATATTAGCTTTGCTATTAACATCGTTTTACGCGACCAAAACAATTCAAGATAATGCAATTCCTCTAGTATTAGTAACTGTTGGTATAGTATAACAAAAGTAAATCTCAATAAAACCAGTATATAAAAAAAAATCAAATAGAGAAATGTGTGTCCTATACATGTTTTAGACACAGAAGATCACCTACTCGTTGAGGAAAAGAAAATAATGCAAATTGAGGCCTTATATAAATTGTAGCACTATTGGAGTCATATTTTAAAGTTTTGTCATATTAAACAAATAATTAATATAATCTAGCTGATTTAAAAGTTAATTTTTGCAATTCACAATCAATGAAACGTCTACACTCATAATTAAGCTTTGGCAATAAAGGTCATTATTATTATTACTATTAGCTGATTTAAAAATTTAATAGCTTACATGATTGGTTCTTCAGGTATATCAACCGACTTTTCTAGTAAATTCTCTAGTATACTTATAGAACCAAAATTTATTTCATATAATGTATGTTTTTCCATATGTGCCACATCATTGTAAGTTTTAGTTTTTAAATACCCTGTAAAAAATTATATAAAACTTAGTACAAATTCTAAACATGTTAGGCCTTCTATTAAATACAACTGGTTGCCTGGATGATTTTGAGAAAGTAATATTTAGTCAGTTAACTTGTATTAAATGTTACAATGACTTTTGAAATATAAGACGAATGTTGAATTAGAATTTGATAATGAGCTTAAGCTCTACAGTTCTGTTGAAAGACTAGACTAGACTAGATTTATTTTGGAATTACCTAGGAGCATGTAGGCTTTATAAGAGCTTGAGGGATACAAGGGAAAGAAAGAATTTTTATTTATATTTAACTCACAAATTTCTTTAGATTTTGCAAGATAAAAATTAAAAACTAAGTTCAGACACTAGTCTGGTCATTTTATAATGGCAACTATTTCGTGTTTAGGTGAAGGCAAAACAAATACTAACTTAAACAAATGTCTCCTGCTTCAGCCTTGTATTCCTCTATTTCCTTATCTTTGCTTTGCAACAAAAGGCGTAACTCTTTTTCACTGCAATGAAGATCTTGTATTGTTTTCAATAAAGGTTTTGTCACCTTTTGGAAGAACTGAAATATTTATTTAATAAATGAGGGTATTTCAGTTACTGTGAACTTATGTACATACACATTTTAGATTAAGAATTTGTTATAGCTACCAGCAAAAATGTTAACTAGTGTCTTTGGGTCTGAAATAATAATTGTAAGTTGTTTCCTAAAAAATATACAAACACGAAACCTTGCCCACTTACATGTTAACTAATTTATATATATTTCCATGAGTTTTATAAGTGACACATCTTATTTCGTTGTTGTGCTTTCTATATTATTATGAAGTGTCCACATCCAATAAATTACATTATTTTTATTTTATTTAATATGTTAATCCTACTGTAACACAGTAAGTAAAACTGTGTATCTAGACTATGTTGTGTGAGTCTAGGATTACAAGACTACTCTATTAGCAACACAGCACAGTAAATGACAAGGGTCATTTTGATAATTTAAGACAAATAAAACTGTCAGTAATTGCTACATAAAACTGAATACTTACAAGTTCAAGGGACCCCAATTTTAGTATTATTGTTAATTTCAGAGGATAACCAAATGATTTACTTAATGATATTCTTAAGTTCTCATCAACTTGTGAAACATCTGCACTTTTTAAACTCTCTGGATGTAAAAGCATTTCTACCCCATTTGTGATCAATTCATTAGTTTCAATTTTTAATATGCGATTGCTTTCCTGAAAAAATAACAAAATTGTTTGAGTAGAAGTAAAGGTATATGAATAATAAAATAGACAAAATTATTATATTTTGAGTACATTGAGGGCATTTTAATCTTATTGACCAGCAATAATGTTAAGACTTTCTAGAGACAATGTTATAGGATTCATATATTAGGTATATTAAGTAACATTCTAATTTACCTTGAGGCATGAAGTAAATTGTTCTGTAGTTAACTGTATAGTCCATATTTTCACATAATCTGAAATACTTATATTGAAATTGTCCTCATGTGTAAACAATATATAGTATAATAAAGAGTTCTGCAGTTTCTTCCACATGTTATAAAATTAAAATATTGAATTCATTGGAAATTCAGTCTTGATTAAAAAAATAGTAAATAATAAATATTATTAAAGGATCTCGTGCTGTCAATACTATAATATGTTAACTGCCAATGACAATCTTAGGTGTCATTCTACATTTGACAATTAGCTCTTTTTAAGTTATGGACAGGCTTAAGCATTTCGACCGTACTGGTGTTTTACTTTTTAATTTATTTGCAATTGAACATAATATTATCTAATCCAAAATTGAAAATTGTGAATAATTGTTTCGATCTTTACCAACGGAGGTCGCTAGCTGTCTTAGTCGTTATTTACAAATCCAAACTTGTTTGACAATATTTAAGATCTAGGATTATTAAGTATAATACAATTCTAATTGCTTATATGAACGTTTGTTAATAAAGTTAAATGTTTTAAGGTTCTATATCCATCCAGCATCCAGCATAGAAAACCAGCCTGATCGGTCTAGGGCAGCTCTTTTAACTTCACTTCACGTCATTCCAGCTTCTTTGCCTCTGCAATGCTGCTTCGCTGCCTAGTTTGTTTTGGGCGGTCACGTTTCCTTTTGACTTGAGGATTCCAGTCTAGAGCTTGCTTGGCAGTGTGACTAGGATCCCTTCGCAGCGTATGGCTCATACACTTTCAGCTTTTATAGTCCTGTCAATTGGCATCTCATTGCATTGCTCAGGGGCCAGAATATACCGAGAATTTGATGAAGGCAGCAAAGACCTAGAGTGAATAAATATTAATAAGTTAATCATTAATATTTATCTTGTGACATTTACCGTAGATATAGTTTATGTATGATGTGGTTAACTTTAATAAATAAATAAATTAATTAATTTGAAAATGTATATTATGTATATTAATTATCCTACTATTAAAAAAAATCAATTACTTAAATTACTCAAAATTTACGCACAGTCCTCAAACAAAGGGCGTAGATCGGGCAAAAAGAGTTGGTAGGAAACTCTTCACCTCTCCTTATAATTGCTTTTGCAATTATTCAAAAATAATACATAAATTTTACACTGTTTTTAGGTTTAGTCCCATAGATTTGAGTAAATCAGCTCTTTGTACTTTGATCTCTCTGTGCATTTTAAATCTATCTGTGATTAATAAACACGCAAGGTTGGCATTGTTGCGTGTAAGCCGTTATTTAGCCAAGTTTAAGCCGCCAAGAAATTTAAATGTTATAATTATTAATAGGCTGATTATAACTTAATCGTTATTGTTTAGTAATTATTCATGACGCGAAATTACCTGAAAGAGGAATTCTCTTTGATAATATCATGAGAATATTTTATAAGATTATAATGATCAAGCCTGCGGCGATAGCTTACGACGTAATAAAAACTCAAGTGTAATAATCATATAAAGTTACAATTATATACTTATATATATTATAATAAAATACAAAGTGAGTTCGGAATCCCGAAAAATCAGAAGCACGTACGGAAGTAAATTAAATTATAATTTTATAACTATATATAGTCTTGTAAAATGTTCCAAAACTTTGCATTGTTCAGTGCAAGAATTTGTTTCATTTATGATTTTTCTTCTATGGAAATGAAAGTTTTGGTGCCCTACCGCACCATGAGCAATCGTTTGATTAGCGCAGGTGATTAATAATTTAAAATATGCTAGTTTTAATATCTTACCGAAATATATCTACAGTAATAATCTAGATTAATATTTTAAAGAGGAAAGATTTTGAAATTTGTATTGTAACGAAGAAAAACCAGGACTGATTTCAGAAAGTCATACACAACTAGAAGTCTGAGCGTTTTAGGCAAAATAAGCCTAGCCTTTGCTACTTATGTTTTTTTTAAATAATGTCCAGCCCTTAGATGCCTTGTTTAGGCTGCTAGTATAGTTATTAATGATAGGGCAATACAGCCTTATTACAAGTATGTATTTCTTCTAAAATTATAGTAAATATTGAGGCAACTGGTATTGTACTATAACCGACATTACATCGAGTATGGCTTACTTGTTCAAATTTAAAATAATTCAGCGTCATCAATTTTAATCAACCTGTATATGAAATTAATATTCGCTTTTGTATAAAACATTTGAGTCATTTATAACAGTTGTTGTACAGTTGTCAAGTAATAGGGCACTTTATAAAGAAGTAGAAAAGTGTAATATAATTATGATCCCAGAAAATGATAGGAAATATAAGAGTTTTAGGGAAACTTATAAATATACCACTTTTTCGATGATAACATCTTTCGTTTACCCAAATTCCAAAAATATTAAACACCGTTTGTTTGGTTTTGGTAAGAAATGTGTTTTATGTATTGTATTAATCTTTAATACTAGTCTGTACGTTACTTCGTATGAAACGAAGTAACCCAATGAAGCTCCATCGGATGCCTAATTATTTATCATCCTTATATATTCAGGGTGGCCAAAAAGTCGTGGATCAAACTAGGGGATAGATGATGTCGTCAGCTGCAAAAAAATATTCTACGGAAGGTCCCTAAGCTCAACCCCTGCAGAGTTATAATTTATTTTGCGTTTTTATAAGAAAATTGACTATTTTCTACTAATTCTTATTAGAATTCGAAAAAAATCTACATCCTGTATCTTTTTCATAAAATCCACTAGATTGTGTAGATTGTGCAGGGGTTGAGTGCTATCACTGTTGTGCTGATGATCCACGTCGTCGATTTTTGGGTAAAAGACCTGGCTTGCTTGAGAGTTTCTTAACGATATTCTCCGAAATATATTATACGTTCTAGCATGCAGTCGAGAACTACGCACTAGCTAAATTACGCACATAAGAATAAATCCGTTGCTATAGAGCTAAGGTTTGGATGACCATGCGTTTGAACCTCAGGTCTCAGGCTATGACAATGACACTGGAGTAATCATAACTTTCATATAATTTATAAGTCATTTTGATTAAATTAGGTAAAGATGGGTTTGTTAAAGTCATTTCTTTTTCAGGATTAATCACGTTAACATCGCTACCTGTCGTAATATTCATCAGTATAGATGTCGTTAGATATGCCATGGATGGAAATATAGTAGAAATTATTCAGCAAACTAACCTTCTCGGACCGTTTCTTGCCATCCTTTTTAAGGTATTGTCTTTTAAAACCATAATAACATATCAAAGTCAAGCCATTACGTTTCTCTTTTGTTTTAACCTCCTTGTAATCTTTAGCTACCTACTCCAGTGATACAAATATTGGTTTACCAGGAATCGAATCTTATTATCCCCTTAGTGAATATGTTAAATGTAAAAGGTTATATGTTAAACGATGAAAATGAATTCATGTTTTCTGTAATATTTTAAGTAATTTAAAACAATATAATAAAATAACAGCCGAAATCAAATTAGATTCAAGAGCGTTGTTAGGTAATATTTTCCACCACGCTCTGGAACTCAAATATGTTCATGTAATGGAAAATTATATATAATAAAAAAAATATAAAAACGCCTTTTAAAAATCTTTGTATATATTTCGTGAATATTATATTTTTTAATAGGCAAGGTCAGCCTTTTGATCGTGACACACGCCGTAGACTTTGGCATTTTAGTCTATTGGGTCTAAGTAATTCCGGTTTACTCTCGATGTTTTCCTTCACCGTACGAGCGAGTGTTAAATGCGTCTGTAAAGTTAATTAATGCACAGCCGGGGTTCGAACCTCATAGATGAGAATCGCACGGTCAAGCCACTAGGCCAAACTACTTTGAACTACGTATATCTAATAAATGTGTTTTGATTTTGTTCGATGAATTAAACTTAGAAAAATCTATTAACAGATACTGATTCAATGTTACTGCAACCAGCATGCGTTTGCAATAATAAACGAAATCAACCGGGACTATGCCCTATATAATGACATGTCGGCCCCGTATCAGGCGATCGCGGACGAAAGCATCAAAAGCAATTTGACGTACACCGACCGAGGATGGTTCATAGCAGTAGCGTCGGTCGTGTTAGTTTTTCCCGCTATGGCCCTTGCTAGAAATATGTACTGTCAGTTACAAGGTGTCAACCGAAAGTTTATGCTACACGAAGTAAGAATACCGTTTGTGGCGGACGATGACAGATATAAATCGCCACTGTACGAAATTATGTTTTTGTATATGGTTTATATCTGCTTCCTGTATCTGATTGGATTTTCCGGCTATGACGCATTTTATGGCTTATCCACTAATCACGCATGTTTGAAAATGAAAATCTACTGCAAAATGTTCGAAGAAGCGGTGAAAGCAGACGTGAATGAAGTACAATCAAAAATTGCTGAAGTTATTAAAGAGCAAAATAGACTTTACAGGTAAGTTAATCTTGGGTTTCAAATTAAATTTATAAAAATAATCTTATTCAAACCTTAAAGGCTTTGTTAAAATTTATAAAGGAATAGAAACTCTATAGATAGTTTATTGGTTTTGGTGGTTAGATCTTAGCTTTTACGCATATCCCTGCTGGAGTAATATTCAGCAGGGATATGCGTAAAAGCATATCCTGACATTAAAAAAAAAACAAAAAACAATAATTTATTCAGATAGTCAACATCGGATTCGTTTCGATTCATTTGTGTCAGCGGGTAAATACTTACACAAGAAGTAACTAAACCTTAATCTAAAGCCATACAATTTTCTTTCTGCCCAGGCCTGTCACGGTCCCGTGAGGTATTGCAATTTATCTGAATAAAATAAAAATTGAAGTTACCACTTCTTATGGGAGGGTAAACCGCTTCGTTACGTAACGCGTTACGGTGCCTCACTCTAAACCGCAGAGCTAGCCGTATTTCGGACAAACGCTTTCTCTCTACTCTGTGTTTAGTGTGCGTTAGACATTTACTGCTGACATTGAACCTTTACATTTAACCTCAATCTATCATCGTTTTTAAATGGTCTTGTAAAAATAGTTCAATATTTTATTATTAATAACCCTTTCCTTATATTATCATATGTATATTCCATAAATTTTAAGTAATAACCTAAGCTTTTCTCAAGTTTAACAATTTCAATA